GGTGACCCCTCTCTCATTTCTTTAAGGTAAATTTACCGTTTCCATTTCTGGGACGCCAGATGCCCGGAGGTATATGGCCATCTAGACAGGACAAAGACCAGAGTAAACGAGTAGGAATCGCTGGATAAAGATGATTTGTATTGAACAGGCTCTACGACTCGAGTAGAAATTAGGAAAGAAAACAAAGTGAACAGAAAGATGGAAGAGAGAGGGAGAGAAAAAACACACAAATTGTTAAAGCTGTATAGCTGGATCGCTAACCCTCTCAGAACTAGTAAAACCCCTTTGTGGTCCAGAATTATCCAACCTTCTAGCATGTTTTGCAAGTTCCGGTACCAGTCTCCGATCGGCTTCCATGGGACCTTGTGCGGATGCTGCTCAAGCTTTGTATGGATGTATGAGAGAACCTAGGAGGAAAGGTCGGCCACCGAAGAGTTCTGTGAGTGATTCTATCTTTTTCGTCATCCCGCTTCCTAGCTGGTAGGCCGCAACTACCCTACGCTTCTTATATGTTATGATCATTATGTGGAAATAATATACCATGGTCAGAGAGAGTCAAAGCTGGAAGCCGGTGGAGGGAGGGCGAAGGCTGATACCAGATCAACTTCCTTTTGGGCAAAGTCGGACGATGAAGTCTCTCTCTTCTCACATCTCAAAATCCCATACTCATCATCGTCCCCTCCGTCAAGTAATTCAGAAATCCTCCACATAAACAGTCGGACATCATACAGCATGCATCATTTTCTACTCGTTTCATGATACGACACATCATTTGAGGCAACAAATGGCTCATCCTCATGCACACCAGTCTTCTACAATTTCGCCTTCCCTCACCCCTCATGCGTCTGCGATTTGGCTCTGTCCATCATTGCCTTGAGCTCGTCGGCAGCATTCACCAAAGCCTCGGCAAACTTCTCCGCGTCGCTATTCTTAGTCGTGATACACCACCTTATATTGTTGTCGTGTATGGAATATGACAAGCCGTATCCGTCCTCGACCACTATTTGTCAGACTTGTGTCGAAAGAGGCACCGACAGTGAGACAAGAGGTGAGGCGAATGTGAAAGAGGGAAGGTAGGATGGGCGAAGTAAGCCAAAGTTAGAAAGAAACTCACCCTCGCCATATCCCCATCCATCCAGATATTCACTACTCAACTGACTCGTGCTCAACTCCCAATGACTGCTCCTCCCAAACACCTCATCCTTGAACACTTCAGGCATCTTCTCTCCCTCTTTCTCTCGGACCAGCTTACGTAGCCCAAACATATGTCTATCCACGCCTTGCGCATCCGCCGCCCACGTGGAATATTGGATATGTCTACTCACCGCCCGTCTGAATGCTTTCTCGCGCTCTGTATCACTGACTTTTGGATCGATCATGGCCTCGCAGAACGCTTTACTTTCGTTTGACGCCGAGCGTATAACCTCCGTTCTTCCTAATAGGAATTTCCGGGTTTGACATGATTCGTATGCCACCCCGGGCCGGTTGAAAAGACGGAAAAAAGCGAGCTGCTTGATCATCTGAGCCCAAGCGTCGGGAGAAGCTTTATGAGCTTTGATGGCTTCTTTTCCATAGTGGGTGAAGTTGAGCATCTATTCGTCAACGTATATCATGTTTATGAATGACGAAAAACTCACCTTGAGGTCCTGCAATGCCATCTCTTCCCCAAAACCGATCCGAGATTTGTCAATAAGACCTCGTAGATGAGCATCAAGCTCGAAAGTGATCTCCTCTGGATCTGGCATGGGGGATGTAGCTTTCTCTCCTTCCGGAAGCTCCAATGGAATTTTGCCAGCTTGTAAACCGGCAAGCATAAATTCGTTCAATCGTAGAGTGGGAGTTCCGTCAAGCATTGAGTCTATACATGTGTCAGCTTCAGTCGGTACATCTCTCGGATACCAAGACTCACGCTCTCCGTTAAACCCACTCTCCCCCGATTCGTCCACAATAATCTCATGTTTGTCAAACCATCTGTTCCAACCGTGACCTTTTGGCGAACGACTTCTTCCACCTGACCAGTACGACCAAGCTCTCTCGTCTTCTGTCTTGGGCGCGGATCCGTCATCCAGTGACACTAGCAAAATAGCCGATTCGATGGCTTGAACAGACACCGTGTTACTCTTGGAGAGAGACATGAGATGTCTTCTGGCCTTCATTTCGTCAGCTGCCGAGATACTGAGTATTTGTCTGGCGTACCTCTGTCCATACATCGCGATCATCAACGGTCAAAATTCCCAACCCCTCACCAGCTTTCGTGTCTGCCAATTTCTTGACCTTTTCGAACGCTCCAGCCAAAGCCTTTTTGCCCCTCCCTTTGGTGTCGACCTTGAAATATCTGTTATTCCGCAAGACTACAATGTGATGGGTGTCTTTGGGGTACGCTAGTGGCACATCAGCTGGACTGGTCGGGACTCGAACAGCGTTAAATCTCATATTTCAGCTTTACCCCAATGTCAATGTTGCTACTCACAGATACTTGTATGAAGCCATGCACAATGGTTGACCTCTGACCTTCTCAGGTTGCAATATTTCACTGGTTCATGAGCACGACTCTGCAGTAATCCAAAGGACATACGTATCCACCAGCTTCTTAAATTCCACCGTAGCTCGAGTCAACTCGGCAGCTCTATCTTCTTGACTCTGGCCACCACCAAGGCCTTTCTTGTGAACGTAAAAGTACGAGACATTGGGTACCAATCGACCTCTATATCCCATATAAGCGGTCTCGTTCCACCACTCCGACAACCAACTTTCTTTCTCCTCAGCTCGGCCTTCCAGACGTGTCTGGAGAACTTTGGAGAGATCGGATCGGAGAAAGTCGTATACTAGAGCTTGAGAATGTTGATGAGCATCAGAAGTTTGAAGAGGTTGGATGGTTTCTAGGTACTTATGAAAGGTAGATGAAAGGGTGGGAACGGGTAAACGGGGAAGAGAGGATTGAGAAGCGTAAAGTGGATTTGGGTTGGATACTGCATTCTTCGTTGGAGGAGAAGTTGCCAGACGTCGGGTGGGTACAGCGACGGGCATGTTGATCTTTTGAGTTAGCACATGATCGTGTAGGGAGTTGTAGCAGTGATCACAACTTACAGCGGTTGCCCGAGGAAGGATGAATTTCGGTGATCTCGGGGGACGGAGGAGGACAGTGATCATTGGTTGATTTTTTCAGTCGAGCTCCTTGAAATTGGGCAGATTATTTGTAGCGTAAAGCCGAGACAATCAATTGACCAAGGTTGAGTTTCTGATAGGTAGAGTCATGGGAGAAGTTGAACGGTGCCTGTGAATAGGTTCATTGGACAAAGACGAGACGCCCGGTTACTCAAAGTTAGTTTACCCGATGACAGCGGAACGTTGTGGCATGTGGCACTTTTGACGGCTTGAGGCAGTTGGCTTTTTGTGAATCGCTTAGACAGTGATTCAGTGAGGTGAGGATAAAGAGAAAATGAAGGTCAGACAATTCATATCAGAGAAAGTGCTACTTGAGTTCAATCACTCTCCTCACTGCCAACTACCCGCTTTATCGACCACTTCTACGGGATGTCCCATAACCTCCTCCCCCGTGGGAAACCCGCTTCTTCCTCCTGCTTGTTTCTGTCTCGTTTGTGAACTCTTCTTCAGCAGGTCTCTTGCTTCCCTTGCGATCACTACCCTGGGTGATATTCTCTCCTGTTCTTACCGGGGTTGCATTCTGGTCTTCACCATTCCCAATAGATAACCCCATCATTCCCCTGGCTACACTAGCAACTCTTGTCACTCCATCTCCGATCCAGCCCCACATCCCTTGCTCCTCTATTGGCTCATCCTCTGTCCCCCAGTTTCCCGTAGAAGAAGTACTCGTCATGAATTCCTCATTGAAAGTAGGCGCTTTATCACTGGGCCAGGTACGAGCACTTGGCATATCAGGATCTGAATCATCTTGATCTCTCCGTTCAGGATATTGAGTGGTAACTCCTGAACTATCACTTTCTTCCGTCTTCTCCTCCTGGCTTTCCTCTTGGTTTACGTCTTCTTCCAGAAGATTTGTAAGCACTTGCAGTACGTGCTACATAGCTTTCTGGGTGTTCTGAAGCGTATGTTTTCTCATATGGAAGTTGATGGTCATTGTGGGGATCTTGATGTCACGAACTACGTCGTGACACCTCGATTACTCCACCAACAATGACCCTCCTTTGGCCATCAAAACCCCATCACGCCTTAACCTCTTTACTCTACACGTAACTCAGGACTTCTGACACCAAGTACGGCGAAGTTAGACGGAGTTAGGCTAAGTAGGGACAATGGGAGCAGAAGTGCGGCGATGTTAGGCGGAGTTAGGCTAAGTAGGAACAATGGGAGCAGAAGTACGGCGAAGTTAGACGGGGTTAGGCTAAGTAGGGACAATGGGAGCAGAAGTGCGGCGATGTTAGGCGGAGTTAGGCTAAGTAGGGACAATGGGAGCAGAAGTGCGGCGATGTTAGGCGGAGTTAGGCTAAGTAGGGACAATGGGAGCAGAAGTGCGGCGATGTTAGGCGGAGTTAGTCGAAGGAGGAAGAGGATGGCCGAGGGCTCGGGGAAGTTGGACGAAGTGCGTTGAAGTACGTCAAAGCGCGAGAGGGTTGGATGAACGTCTAGGAGGAGTAGATAATATTAGCTGAGAAGATCGCTGAAGTTCTTCAGCGATCCTTGATTGTTGTCAGTAGTAAAAGACAAATAGAGATAGCTATACATCGAGATACATCGCCATCAATAGAACAAAGCCTTAGTTAGAGTAACTACGCCGAAGTACGCCGTAGTTACACTCCTTTCGACGTCTGCGCCCTCCTGGTTGGGTGAGACATCGACTCAGAAGCGTGAAGTTAGCCGAGGTTCGTCGACCGTCGGTCTATAAGGAAGAAGTTGCTCGACGGCCGTGACACTTGAGTGCCAAAAGAGATTTGTCTTCTGTTGTTCATTGTTAACTAAATGTGATTATTCTGCTTGTCCTATATGACAGTGAGTCAAGATGTATTTTGACAAGAGGAATTCATGTCCGTTGACCTGAATGTGTCATTTATCCGAGCAGAAGGGTGATGACGAGGAGGGGGAAGCCAGACCTAAGCGAGATGTTCCTTTCCCCTGGTCAAGCACGGTAGCAATCTAGAGTCACAGACAGGTGAAGATACATTGTCCAAAGAGTAAAGTAGCTATCTTCGTATTATGTATCTGTCAGGTACGCCGCCAGCGGCGTCCTCCGCATACCAGAGTTGTCACCACGTGACACCTCCGTCATCAAACATCCGATACCTTCTGAAACTCGTTTTAACTAGCGGTCCCCCATTCTATCAGCGAGGAACTCATACGGTCAACCGGATATCAGTCATTTGTATGACTAGATCATTAGTCTAGCTGGTCCAGGACGTAAGTGCCCCAATAACTCCTGTCGTCTACTGGCAAGAGGACGCGGGATAACGGCTCATATCAATCATAATCGATGCAACCATATTCAACATCCTCTTCCCTATTATATCCTTAGAAGCTCTGTGGTTAATAAGATAAATGAACAGACATCTCGAAGGAGTATTACTCCTAATCTACTAATTTGTTCAGCACCACGCGGGAGCCCTAATCATTAAACTTGCCAATGAACAATAAAATGTCTGATCCCGACTGAAGTTATACAAAGAGTCCAACTGATCGTCAAACTTCTGCCTATCTTCCTCGGTCTCAATCTTTACCCCATAAAGCCACACATCCCTCAATTTATGACAGTCATACTCTGGAAGAAAATGATTTTCCACCTGACATTTGTGTACCTCTAAAAAAAGCCTCTGCAAGTCGGACATTTCCGACCATGTGTACTCCCTCTTCCTTGTTGTTCCACCCTGACTTAGCTCGGATTCGGAGACACCTGTTTGAACAGTATAAACAACCGGGTCATGAGGGTCAGTCCCAGCCGGAGCAGGTGTGGCACTGGCCTCCCACTCATCAGAAGGTGAATCTTGCCAAAAAGTCCCATCTGGATCCAAGTTGGTATCATCAAGACCACAGTAGAAGAGTGAGTAAGAATCTGGTCCTTGTGAGATATGACGTGGAGAGTTGCACCCAGTCATGATATCCTCGCCCATGGGGAGGGTAGGTTCATCGATAGTCTGGGTTCCAGCGTGTTTCACGGGAGACTGATAAGAAGGAGGTGGAATGTCCCCCATTTCATCCGTCGGCATATCCAACTTGTCATTATTATTTTGACCATTACGGCGAAGGCTTGAGGTGCATCGAGTCCATTGGTTCTTGATAGAATTTGGGATACAACCACTTGATACAGCCTCATTTCCCGATTTCCATGATGAAGGAAATTGACCTGGTCTTCAGTTCTCTCATGAGGATGTCAAATGAATCATGAGGTTACCTGAGCGGACGTTTTTGACTTCGACGGCCCAGCTTCGGTCTCATTATGATGAGTTTTCCCCATATTTCTTCTTCTGGGCTTGGAGGTAGACTTCCGTGCGTTGTTATGTCGAGAGTTATTCTAAATAGGTTGGATAATCGTTCAAGTAATGCTCAGTCAAGTATGTGTTTAATAGAAGCAAGATATATGAAATGAATTGTAAGATGAGAAGAAATGAAGTTGGCCTTCTTAATTGCACATGTCTCAAACTTGTATGAAGGTCATATGTAACGAAATCGGAGATCGTCCTTACCTCTCCTTTCTCTCATCGACAAGTGGTCGAATATGTCGTGATTAGACAAAATCACATGACCTGTTTCACCTTCTCAGTTCATAATCCTCATCAATCTATTTGATAGCCTTCTCTATCTATATACATATCATTGATTCAAATCACCCTCACAATCATTTGTCACCCATGGGATCCTATACAAGTCACAGTACAATAGGTGAGAAGGGAGTGAAACTGATACCTCGTCCGTAAGAAGAAACAGACATTAGCAAGAACGACATTCTCAGCTCATGCATGAAACTATTTTGTTTACTTATCAAGTATCATGAGTGGTTGAATACTTTCTAGTTCATGGTATCCCCTATAACTGCGAGATAGTCAAATCATGTAAACTTTTCAATTGTTCAAGATATCGTCCTCTTTCCTCCTGTCCTAAATCCATCAAATCCATCCTTTTGGACCAAACACCTTCAACAACCCAATAATCACCCCCTTGACCGATTTCCCACAAATTGCTCAGAATAGTCTTCATCATCTCCACCTCTTCTTCCGTATATTCCGCTTGATCTTTGTTTGACCCTATTGAACCAGTCATAACTTCCAATCTAGAACTGAGCTCAAAGGCCATTTGAGCAAAATTGTTTGTCTCCCTGTTTGTTGGTGTTGTAGAGTGAGGATAATCCATAACATCCGTATCGTCCATTCCAAGCTCATGGGGAAATTTCAATTCGAATGGGAAAGGAGCTGTTTTCAAATGTCCCGAATTCAAACCTGCCATATTCTCGAAGTCACGAATTTGGTCAACATCAAGTTTACCACTATCAGAAGTTAATTGATCGAACCAGTGTTGCGATACGTGAACAGGATCCATATGATTATTTCCCCATGGAGCACTTGTACCTTGAGTATTGGATGGGATGAAAGAAGTATTTCTATTTGTATGGGTGTTAGTACGGGTACGTCTTGGTGGAGGAGGAGCATTTGATGGTCCCGCTTGTTCTTCTTCTTCTTCATCGTAATAATATTGAGATACTTTCTTCCCCTTTCTACTTGATTCTCCTCTTTCGGGCATTTTATGAGCTTCAGATTATCTGAGTTGTCTTTATTAGACTGATCGGTTATCGAATTGAATTGGGTAGTTTATGCTTGAGGGTGTTTCTCAATGTCTGACGAAGTGAGTAAGCGTTAAGGATTTCTACTGTTGTCGTATGATGAGCGTCTTCAGGACGAGTTGGTGAGGCAAATTGAAAAAAAAGCGGGGATGAGATGGCATGGAGATATGTCCATATAACTCATATGTACTCGTGGAGGAGGCCTAGTCGGAGTAATCGTACCAACCATTGTTCTCATCCACCTCCTTTCATCGACTAAAACAGTTCGGTCGGTATTCATCTCCTCATATCGACCTCTAGCGAGGGCGTTGGGCTTCTTAACAGTTTGCAACAATCGCGTCTCAGCCCATAGTCAATCACGGAGTCTCACACCGCCAAAGGACAGTTTGGGGCGGAGCTTAGATCACTATGACTTGATGAGAGCGATTTCGAAGATTGATTATTCAAATGTGTGAATGTAGAGAAGTGGTTGAACTCACTGGTCTTCTTCCCAATCAGGCTATGACATTCTTCCACTGAGCTTTGAGACATGTCAGGAAGCGGATTGTCTCAAACAATGGAATGTTCAGTATCAAGATGACAGGGACACATGGACGGTTCAAAATCTATATCACAACAATTGCATCATATCGTGTCTTCATAATCATCATCCGTCCGAACTTCCAAATTACACCACCCGCATTAGAGCGTACAAACTGTCTTTCTCCGAAGACCAAAAGTACTATACCAGTAGAAACTGGGAAATCGGATATTTGACTTGCTTGAGACTTGAGCCTTGAGCCGTGAGACTAGCTCCTTATGATACAGAGACGAAACGATTGTTTGCTACATGCCATCTTGGCGAAATCACCAGATATCGAATTGAGAAGATCTCTTCTAATGTAGGGCGAAGCCTCCTCAAAGTCGTAGTTGCGATTGGGGGGATTTGAGTGTTCATTATCGCCAAAGAGGGGAAATGGCCGCAAGATTTCAATCCGTCAAATGGGAGTAAACCTGCTCAAACTCCCAAACAACCTCTTCCTCTTTGGAGTAGTGAACAACCCATCTTCATCCTTACCCACCTCCTTCTCCTTTTCCCATTTCCATCCCCTACCTCTATCCAGAGATCCACTACTACCACTCTCCTTCAGATTCTCCGAGAGATCTACCACACTGTCTTCCCCTTTCTGTCCCGAAACGCCATCATAAGAACTCCCCGCGGTTGAACCCGTTTGTCCATCAACACCGTCATGAAAACTGCTTGTGGTCAACTCCTTCTGTCCAGAAACACCTTGATAAGAACTTCCCCCGGTGGACCCTTTTCGACCAGAAACACCTTCGTAAGAGCTGCTCATGATAGAAGATGGATCGTCATCTTGCGTAGTCTCATCAAAACTCGTTATTGATCCCTTGGATCTGTTGAGTATACGAAAACTCATTGTCCTTCTGAATGACTCCCAAGTCGAAGATGATTCACTCGTTTTGATGCTTGATCCCGTGTTTAGATTCGCAGTCGGGTTCAAAGACTGAACTGGAGATCTAGGACTATCACGAGCTAACACCGTACTTGTTTCAGAGGGATGTTTGAACATTATCGGAGGAAGAGGTACATGTCTAGGAGTATTCGGGGTTGATTTAGCTCTTGTTGTGTGAAACGGTCTACTAGTGAGGTTATAAGCAGAAGCCGTTTTACGTCTATTCAATAAACCTCCGGTGGTGTATGCAGCACGAAGTGATGTCGTGGATCTCTTGGGCGTTGGAGCGGGGGAGAAAGAAATCACTGAATCGCTTCTAGACATGGTAGATTGATGTAAATTTCGCATGGTTCCATAATCTGATGTGGCCGCTTCACTCGCTTCGTCTTTATCGTCCAATTCAGCTGTTTCTCGAGAGATAGGTTCCCCGAGAAGAACCTCAGGAGGTAAGGTACGACGTTTGATTGCTGATCTGGAAGGTCGGACGGGTATGACAGATCCACGTATTTCACCAGTGAAGGCAATGTCGAAAGATGCAGGTCTGGCATCAAGGAATGATCTTCGACGTCGAAGCATGGTCGATTCTTTGATAGCCAGTTTGTCTCGAAGTTCACTTGGTGGCATGTCGGGAAGAAAGAGAGCTTGATGAAGTTGAGCTTTGCTTCTAGCCGTGGCACATGATTCTGAGAAAACATCCATCAAACCGCGATCAACCAGCAGACGACGAGTGGCAGATGGTCGGCGAAGGAGGATAGTGGATGGTTGACCTGGACGTCCTTGACGGTCAGGTGTGAACCCGAACGACGATCGCAAGGGTGAAGACACGGGAGTCGCCTTGAAATCTATCACGTTGATCGGAGAGGTTGTAAGTGCAGCCATGTTCATTTCTCCAGGAGGAAAAGCTAGTGTATGTCGTTTGGTCTTGGGTGAGGGAGGATCGTCATCCTCTGGTTGAGAGGCTAGTGAAGTTCGTCTAGATCGAGGGGTGAACGGCGATACACTGGCAGGAAGTTCGAAAGGTGGAATGACACTGTCTTCCTTGGCGGCACAAAGAGCTGCTGACCAAACTTCCTTCTCAGTCTCACAAGAAGCCGCCAGGTCAAAGTTGTGCTCCTGAAGTACGAGTCGTATGGAATGAGGCAGAAAACCTAAGCACGTTAGCCGCCGGTCTTGAGAAAACAATGAATTTAAATGGAGATTTACTCACCCTCAGTGATGTCGATAAGCTGAAAGACCTCCAAAGGCAGATAATGCCTCGGTTCGTAGGTCTTGCCTTTCTTCACCTTGGCAAGAACCAGATACCCCCTATACAAGAAGGCAGCGAGGTATTTGACTTTGACGGGCGGGACCAGAGGAGCAAGAGTAGGATGATGATGTAAAACGTCCAAAGACCCAACGAGCCGACATGTCCCAAGACTTTTAAGGAACATCGGAGTGATGAGCGGGTGATAGTCCATACGCGAGATGACGGAGGAGCTCTTGATCTCAGATTCTTTCAGTCTTCTCGCTTCATCCGCATCTTCTGCCACGGAGCGCATCACGGCCAATGCCGCTTCGACATCTTTTCCAATGCCCTCCTGTTCATCAAAGAAATCGGTACGGTCTGGCATGGGACTGGAGGCAGAACTTGCCAACTGATTGAGAAGTAAGGGGTAGCGACAAATTCGTTGAACAGGCGTGATGAGGAAATCACGGAAACGTAGTCGAGAGCGATTGGAAGGGTGATACGAAGGGTCTGCATCATTGAGAAGATCTTGCAAGCTTGAATGAGGTTGACCTGATGAGATGATTTGACACCGTCGTTCGAAAGCTTCGTAGTCTGACCGCATTGATATGTGTCGGACTAACGAAGCTGCCGCTATAGAGCCCGCACAATACTCCTTGTAGGCACCCAAGAAGTCGGCCTGCGCGTCAGCTTTGTGGGTCCACTAATGAATTAGAAGATGCTCACATTCTCTACGAAGAGTGCTGCCACACGTCGAGCCGCACGTTCTACCTTTTCCGTGGTCGAAGTTTCGGCTTGTTGATCAAAGTTCAAACCTTCTTCCTTGATGACCTCTACCATCCTCATCGCTAGAACCTGATGAATGTCCAACAAGGCAGATGCATTCCGTGCCACCATGGCGGTAGTCCGTTCGGAAACTGTGGGAAGAGCAGCCAACTGAGGTAGATAGATTTGAACGAGTGTCTTTAGATCCTCGGCATAGGTCACTTCCGTCTCCACTAATTCCAAAAGGACCATCTTTCGGTTCTCCACACGACGATGATGTCTATGTTGTCTTGCTTCCCATTCCAAACTTCTTTGCAAACGAATGACAGAAACATCTGTCACTTTCTCTTTATCTTGCCCTTCAACACCTTCATCACCGCTCTTGGCACTCCTAGATAGTGAGGTAGTCGCTGAGGACAGCGGATGTCTATCAGAAGATCCCGGGGGAGAGAATAGAGCATCAGAAGCTTCGGTAGTTGTCATAGATGATGAAAGAAGGGATTGGGCGTCGGAATGACGATGCCTGTCCGTACTATCCACGTTGGGAGACGCTTGGTCATCTCGCAGCATACCAGTCGCGTCCAGCGAGCTGCGTCTCAATGGCGGATCATGGGGCATGACGAGATCATCGGGTATCAATATCTCTCCTGCTTGTGTGGTAGGGTTTGGCGAGACATAGGTAAGACCAAGAACGTCATGGGGAGAAGTAGAAAGACTGGAGCGACGTTGAGATATACTGGGAGATGCGAGAGGTCGAACGGTGGTGATCGTTGAAACAGATTGTAGGGTATAATCAGATTGACCTCGTTGTGAAAATGGAAAAGAGACAGGTGGATATCGTCGAGGATCTCGATCAGGCATGCCCGACCATTGCTGGCCTCTGTCAGGTCCGTCTAATTCGGAAGGAACATGAGAAGAACCCATGGAAGCTCTTCTCCTTCGAAAGCTATTGAAAGATCGAGTGAAAGTTAGAGCGCGAGGAGGGGGCGTGTCTCTTCCTACTTGCGGACCGAACCCCCGATCCGCCTGAATCATGGTTTGCGCCCTCCTACGACCCTTGAAACTGCGGTTTGAAGAAGGTAAGTCTGATGACTGGGCGAAAGGAGCGGGTTCGACACAAGTTACGAAGCCCTCGTCGGCCGAGGTATCGGTTGAGCTTTCGCGTCGATGTCGATGTCGAGTGAGGGAGGTGAGTGCGAGGGATGAGCGTAAGCGGAATGAGGATCCTCTACTAGATGACCTGCTAGGTCCGGCATCTGGATATGATGAGAATAAGGGTTCTTCTGAAGTGGAACGAGGAATGGACAGGGGTTGTGGTCTTGGTCTATCGACGATTGTGGAAGTGGTCGTTATTGGGAAAGGTGTTGAGGTGGGGTTGGAAAAGTAAGATCCGGGCATCAACAGGAGAGAAGCTGCTGATTGTCTTCTACTTGACTCGCCACTGGAAGAACTTTGAGGTTGTGGGTGAGGGGGAACAGGTGGAGGTTGTTCGAAATGATCAGGGGGTGTGAGTGAAGGTGTGTGCATACGAGAGTCGGGTATAGGGGCCAGGGAAGGAAAGGCTAGAGTTGACCCATGGACAACACCAGCTAGAGGAGTCAAGACCATACCCATGGTCGTTTTCCTACATCCGTTTTTTTTGCAGGTGTGAAAGCTAGCTGACTGCTAGATGCTTGAACAAAGTAATGTCAGAATGAATCGGGTGGTCAGAGAGTGAAAGTGGTAAAGGAAGTCGAAAGGGGAACAAGGGAGTGGGAAATAGGAAAGGAGGAACGGTTGAAAGTCGGAGTTCGAAAGGTAGACAAGAAGGAAGATAGAAATAACTCTTGGTCAGCTGGAGTCCTTTCACATGTCCTGTACACGGGGTAATGGTGAGATAATTGAAAGATGTCAAATATGAAGAAATGATGCCGACTTTTGTGGTTGTGCAGAATGAGTAATGAATGCCAAGATGTATGGGAGGCTGGAGGTAAGTGTGAGAAGGTGAGGTAGTGGTGAGGTTTATGGCATGACGCCGAGTGATCGAGTGAGACAGGCGTACACCACACAATGATCGGTAGAGTTAGTCGATGACCAGATCGAGGAACGTATCGGGTGACGGGTGAACCGCAGTATCGCAGTGGGAGAGGGATACAAAGCTCTTGATTGGAAACTCTCTGATCCGATAATGATTCAACATGCTTCATACTCTTTGATCCGACTAGGTCGGGGTGTCGGATGAGAGTGAAGGACGCAGTAGAGCAAAGTGACGAATATACCGGGGATTGTACAACCGATGTGGAGTGACAACAAGGAAGCAAAGACGAAAGGTGTAGAAGGAAGACTCACCAAGGGCCACGGGTGAAAGACCAAGGTGTCTAGCTTAGAAACTAGTCTCTGCCTTTTGACCTCGGGGACGGCGGAAGGATCGACAAAACGTTCTTAGATCTTTGGAGTGTATCTCTATGTCTCAGTCAAATTATTAAAACCATCGTCATTTCCCATCAAGCCACCCACCACTGGCCACTGGTAGCTAACCATTAACCACCTCCACTGGCTACTGGCTACTGCGAACCGGACGAAAGGCCATCAACCCCGCATCATTGCTCCGGTATACAATGTTTGCTAAGGACAGAGGATGGATGTACAAGGGTCAGAGGCTAGGCCTAGAGGTCTTCGAATGCTTGAGAATCCAAAGGGTAACTCACCCAATGCACCCAGCTTGAGATTGTCACCACGTCATACTATCATGACCGATTGGCCACTCACCTCGATGAGAACACCCAGTACTTACCCAGTTGTCGTACGAGTTGACAAAAGAAACACACCAGTTGATCCGCGATCACAAATTCACAAACACGCCAAACGTTTTTTTTTCTTTATACAGTCTTCTTCCTCTTGTACCCTGTACCGCTTCTTCGTGTCTTGAGATGATATTGAGTGGGTGGAGAGCGAGTAAAGAGGGACTGATGGGTCAATTGAGTCGTACAGGTATGACCTGCCTTTCTGCCCAGAGAGCCAAGTGAAAAGGGAGAACGGAGTTTGCAAAGTTTTGACCAAGGATGTTGTACGCCGGATGGCACGAGCCCGCGGCGACAAGAATACGTCATTCTTTCTTTTTCACTTTGTTCCGCATCAGGGGGCGTCACCTCCCTGAACGCTGATCCCTGTGCGATTCAAGTTTCTCCGTCAATGTTCCATCCATTTCTCTCTTCTCAACGCTTCTAGCTTCTGCATCCTACTGTTAAGCTAGGATAGATCTGACGAATCCCAAATACACAACATCCCTTCGTATTGATCCACAGAGTGTATAGAAGGAACAAGGTTCTCAACCTTGATAAGTAAATCAGAGTAAGAGGATCCTCGTACTCTGGGAAAATGCCCAGGGACACGGGAACACTTAGGAACTGATCCGCGTGTACGCACAAACTGGTCAACGTGCTTCCACAGCATGTCCAACAGGCCAATCATCCAATCGATACCTGATAGACAATGATAAGATGCATACAACATATGTTCATGCTAAGATTCACTAGTATCCGGTGATTCTCTCCATACAGCCTCACATGTCTGTACGACACTACCGATAAGAAAAGCCCAGCTTCCCCAGAATGTAGATAATGCGGATTGGTAGACTAAACCGGACGATGGTGAATAGCCGAAAGCGCCGCAGAGGGTGAAACCGAGGGATCCGATCAAGTTCCAGAATGCGACTGTGGGGTTAGTGTCTGAGCTTTGACACAAATGTCGTTTCTAAGCAACCCACCATGTCTCGTCGATCGTCAGGATTTCTGTATGGACCGGAGGGAATCGGAGGGAAGGGGAAAGAGTAATAAGGAAGGTGGGACAATCGGGGATAGAATTGATTCCGATGAAAGCCTGAGTGGGTGTTCTGAAGGATGAGAACATCTCGTACTCACCCTGCCAGCCAATGTCAAATGGTCTAGGTAACCACCAATGGGTTTGAACCTCCACCATTAAAATCAGACTGCTAATGATGAAACCACTCCCGCCGATGACTGGGTATCAGCGCTTTCTATGAAGTTAGGTGACAAGCTTACCCTGAGGGGTCCAAAAGAAGACATCTTCAATAGGCACAGAAGCGGATTCTGTATACAAGCCAGGTATAGCCCCGGGCAATCCTGTCCTTCTTTATCAGATTGATCGTTTCTTGGGAACGAAACGTACAGGGTTGAGATCCAGAATATGGACGCTGCGAACAGCTGGACGATCGCCTGGCAGTCAGCTATGTTTGGACGATACGGAACAAATGTGTAAACCATGATGAGGCTATGAGGAACACTGGATGACTAGTGACCTGAAAGGTATGGAATGTCGTTTGGGTACTGCGCGACAGACAGACATACGGCAATATACCCCATATCCCGCCACAGAGGTTTACCCCACCATACAAACCTTTTGGCCCCGTCTGGCATCTCACCATCTTGCTTGGACTGTTCTTCCGGGGTCGGAGAAGGACTCTCGCTAGTTCCTCCCGGCGAAAGGGTCTTCTCTGACGAGGAAGAGGCACGATGTGAAGTCAACCGTCGTCGGGAATGCAAGAGATGTCCTAGGGCGGTACCGAAGTCGGTTTCTCTTCCTCTGTGATGTCAGTCTCGCCTTCCTGCGTTCCAATCTCTCTGGCTACGACACAAAACGAGGTTTGAAGCTTGAGATAAAGGTAGTGTACGGTATGGGATCATGAGCCAGCGAGTTGGATGAGAGGGGATCGTAGGGGGAGAGGAGGAGGAGGAGGGGAGAGGACAGAAGCTCGAGGAGGAAAAGAGTCCAGAGCAAAACTCACCTATCCAAAGCTTCCACAACCATCAAATAAGATCCTATCTCAAAAACACTTCCACCTATAAAAGCAAACGCAGCTGCGGTATTGGTAAATGCTGTGGTAACCAAGTTCGGTCTTAATATAGGGAACCACACCAAAAATCCTCAAACATCAGTCCAACTCGCTTACACCCACTTGACCAACGACAAAATCCTCCATCTAAATCGCTGCGTTTGATGAAAATGGAAGCGTACCGAGTAGTTGGAAATGTATCCAGTAAAGGGAAAGACAGACGACATACCATTCACAACCCAAACAGCCGATCCAAAAGTGAACAAAACCGCTATCCAAAAACTGATATCCAACGTTAAATGAGCTTTTAGTCTTCCTTCTTTCTCCTGTACTCGCATATATACTGTCTTTCCTCTTCCCATACTCTTGAATTCGGTATCAGAAGAAGAATGGACATGTCGAGGTTTAGGTGTGTAACGACCTTTTCTAGCACGACGGGATTGGTATTCCACTTCATGATTGTTGTCGACGTGAGTGAGACGAAGATGAGTAGGATTGAGTGATTTGTGAGGAGCACGATGAGAAGTGAGGTAGAATGAAGGTGTAGAGTGTGCTGAGGTATATGGATCACTCATAATGAGTGTATGATCTTAGTCGAGTGACGTTTTTACCTAGAGCACATACAGTAGGAAGTTGTCGAGGGTGAGAGCGAGGGAAAGGAGGCGTCAAGCGTCATTGATTGACGGTTGAAAGAAATTTGTTTCCGTTATTTCCAGGAACTGAACTTATGAGGGGCTCCGAACGGGGTGGAACGGACCTGACGATCAGCCAATGTTGTGTGAATTGGAAGCCAACTTCGCGCACAACACCAAATCTCTTCACGCACAACACTGTCACGTGACTACCAGATAGGCATGCATATTCTTTGTTAGGCGTGCACACCACGTGACCTGCACGGACCTCCCTTCCAACTCTTCTCATACTTTCAACCAACATCATCCAACATCAATAAACATCGTCACTCTCTCCAGCCCAAACCAGACAAGCTACAGTCTCAAACTCTTTTCCATTGTTCTCAGAGCACTTGAATACCCCTTTCTACTACTTTCAACCAATAAGATAGCTTGTGATATCAACGTTCTGGTGGGTACCTCCTTCTACACTTCGCCTCAGAGGGAAACTGATCATTTTAGTCCTCTACCTCTCTTAAAATCATGTCTTCCTCTCAGCCTATTGATCTATGCGACTCTTCCAGTGAAGACGAGTGGTCAATCCCACCTCTCCCTCCGTCTCTCCCTCCACTTATAAAGCAAGAAACCCCGTCTACCCCGTCCGAGATCATTATACCAGAGACTCAGCAAGATAAATCGCCGTTTTCGTCTCCCCCTGGTTCCTCAACACCATTACGCGATATACACTCAGTCTCTACGTCCCCTAGTAATGCAGACGATTATTTTGCCCCTCCTCCTCCTCTATCGGACGACAATGACGAAGAAAACACCGATTTTGAGTCCAATATTGAAGAAGACGAATTTGGCCCCCATACCCGTGTCCCCAAACTTGTTCATGCTCCCTTAACTCTCCCCCCACAGATATCTGTCAATAATGCTCGCAATAAACTCGATGTCATGGTAAAAAATAAGGGGTTCGCCTTGGTAACCGATTCAAGCAATCAAAAACGTCAATACATGACAATGAACTGCGTCTTTGGAGGCCAATATCGATCTGGTCGTTCTGCTCAATATGACAAGGTACGAACTCGTCAGCCTCACACCCAGCGATTAGGGTGTCCATTTCGACTTAAACTGTCACGGGTGAGAGAGGAAGACGCTCTTGCAGATGGATTTCGACCAGTACTGCTTGAGACAGTGTGTAATGAACATAACCACCCTCCTGTTAAAAGTTTGCTTATCTCCCACCTACGAAAAGGCTCTCGTACCCCGCAGATCACTTCCCTTTTACAGGAATACATCGATAAAGGCTTCACTGTCCACCAGATCATCGATCTCCTCAAGGAACACCCCGATCAACCCCTCCTGACCCCTGCCGATGTGTCAAACTTCAAGTGGAGGTATGAGAAGAATCGAATGAGTGGACGAACAGTGACTGAAAGTTTGTTTTTACATCTCGAAAAGGAAAAACGTCTCTTCAAAGGCCTGGTTAATTCGAAAAATGAAGCTCTGGGTCTCATTTATACGACTCATAAAGCAAGAGCTCTGGTTCATCTTTATCCCACTGTTCTCATGATGGACTGCACTTATAACACCAACCGATATCGCCTTCCTATGCTCCACATCACAGGAATGACAGCAACCAACCTCACCTTTACTGCGGCCATTGCTTTTATCAATCGCGAGACTACGGATTGGTACGGGGTCGCGATAAAGAGTTTTCTCGACTTGATAGGTCCCTTAAAACATCGAATTCAGGTGGTAATAACCGATCGTGAGGTAGCCTTAGCCAATGCTCTTAAAAAGTACCTGCCAAATGCGAAACAGCAGTATTGTACGTGGCATCTGCGAGAGAATATCAAACATCTTTGTGACAAGAAGAACTGTTTTGAGGGAGAGGAAAATAAAGTTTTGGAGAGACAGAGGTTTGGGGACATGTGGATGCGAGAAGTAGTGGAGGCTCATGACGATTTCAAACTAGAACAGGGGATGGATAAGATAAGAGAGAGATTTTCGAAACCAGAGCATTCTCCAGCAATTCGGTACATTGAAAACCTGCTTTCTTCGAAGGAGAAATGGGCCTGGGCCTATACAAACCAAAATCGCAATCTTCGTCAACATACGACATCCAGGAATGAGGGAGAACATCGTTCCTTCAAGGATTTCTTGAAATCTCATACAGGAACCCTCTGGCAAGTAATTCCTCAGCTAGATCGCTTCCTGGAGAGACAGTGGGACAGTATTACATTGAAAAATGGTCAGCAAACAGTACGATCGGCCGTGGGTGATCGACTACTCAGTATTATCAACCGAGACATCTCAAAATTTGCTGCTGAAGCTCTGCAACATCAGATTCTACTCGCAACCAAGCTTCTAGGTCAGCCTGATCGAATACACCACTGTTCAGGACGATTTTTAGCTTCAATGGGTCTCCCCTGTGCACATACGATCGTCAATGTCATGAGAAATGACGGGGTACTCTCTATCAACCAGATACATCACCACTGGCGACTTCTCCCTCATGATGGATTCCATAAACATCTTGAAGATACCAATAACAGAGTACAACCAACAGCTCTTCGGGCCATTGGAGTTCATCGACTTGAAGACGAATTCGAGGTAGTTAACGGTTCCCGCGATTTTATCCTTGATCCTCCTGTTAATCTTGGTCTCCGTGCAAGGATGGCTATTCGGGCCTCTGCTACCCAGGCTGCTGCTTCGCACGCCTCGCAAGGAATAACAGTAGTTCGACCTACACCAATGTATGCTCCCCAGAGGCCTCCTCCTTCTCTCCCCCCCCCTTCGCAATATTCAGGTTCGCAGGTATCAAAATCGTCAAGTAATCATCCTCCCCCGGCCAGTACTGGCCGGATCCTATCACAGAGCGAGCAATCTGCTCCTTCACGCCCTCTCCCCCCTAAATGCAACCTCTGTACCAAGCGACATGCGATTACCTACATGTGTGCAGCAAAAAAAGCAGTGGCTGCAAGGGAACAAGAGTTATTGGTTCGATTTCAAGGTGAGAGGGGGAAAAATGCAGAAAGGATGGTGGAGAGGCCACCTGTGATGATGACACAGCCTGTGATAGCGAGAACAGCTTCTGTGATGGCGAGGACGGCCTCAGAGACAATGGGGACAGGCCTACAGGTACGCACTTCATTGAACTCTGTCCTACCACTTCTGCTGGTCGATTTATGAGAATTTCAGGCTGATTTCTCCAGATAATGACTCAATATCCTCCCTATCCCTTCTACCCCTCTCCCCACTTGCTCCCAGGTGCCCCTGGGCCATCTAATTGGTACCAGAGGCCACCTACGTACCCTCCTGTACCGAATTATGCGAATTTCCCACCTACCTTTTATCCACCCGTTTATCCACCACCGTATGTGCAGGAAGGACTCGGAAATGGCTCAAACTCCGCAGAAAGGAGCGTCCTAGAGGCCAGGCACGGTGGTATGAGACAGGAATTCCCCCCTCGCGAGTATAGGCCAGGACAACAGAATTGAACCGGCGGACAGGGGGGTGGAAGGTAGATCCATGTATCTCAGTGAGTTTTCCACTTTTCAGTCTGAAATCTTTACTGACAGATAGAGGAGGAAGTGCTTCACATGTCTATAAAAGAATCCAGTTGATTTTATGCATACAACATGGACTTATCAATTTTCACGGTTCACTCACTTTGACCAGAGGACAGAGAGGTTGGAAGGGAGGTCCGTGCAGGTCACGTGGTGTGCACGCCTAACAAAGAATATGCATGCCTATCTGGTAGTCACGTGACAGTGTTGTGCGTGAAGAGATTTGGTGTTGTGCGCGAAGTTGGCTTCGTGAATTGAAACGAAGCCAACTTTGCGCACAACACCAAATCTCTTCACGCACAACACTGTCACGTGACTACCAGATAGGCATGCATATTCTTTGTTAGGCGTGCACACCACGTGACCTGCACGGACCTCCCTTCCAACCTCTCTGTCCTCTGGTCAAAGTGAGTGAACCGTGAAAATTGATAAGTCCATGTTGTATGCATAAAATCAACTGGATTCTTTTATAGACATGTGAAGCACTTCCTCCTCTATCTGTCAGTAAAGATTTCAGACTGAAAAGTGGAAAACTCACTGAGATACATGGATCTACCTTCCACCCCCCTGTCCGCCGGTTCAATTCTGTTGTCCTGGCCTATACTCGCGAGGGGGGAATTCCTGTCTCATACCACCGTGCCTGGCCTCTAGGACAA